TGACTATGCAGATAAGATTCACAGACCCGGAGAAAATGCCAACAACCCAATCCATAAAGGTAGAAAATGGGGAGCACAGCCCTGAAAATGAAGAACACAGAAGAGGCCTAAGGCCCAAAAGCTCAGTATTAATTATAAGTCCGTGCCCTGCCACCCCAGGTGGGTTTCCGGAAACGGGGGTCTCCTCTGTGTCCAGCTGCTCCAAACCAAAAGCTAGTGGAGTGCGGGAAGCAGTCTTGTTTTTCAAGCTGCCTGGTTCCTCCCTCAAGGTCTCCCGGGGATGTCACAATCCTGGTGTGATGTCAAAACTAATTCAAGGGTGAAGAACTCTGGCCTTGCCGATGAGTCAACAGAGGGGTGGGTTTCCCGAGAGCTGCCTGCTGGCCTGCTGTTTACACACAATCACAGCACAGGCAGGGTGCAGCCTGAAGCACAGTCAAGGGTCACAGTGGTGGCTGAGGGCGGGGTTTGGTCCCTCTCACACACCCTCACCTGCCCCCTGCAGAGACTGCCAGCTCAGATCCCACAGACTCAGGCTGGCTCGTCCTCTTCCAGTGCCTTCTGGGACTCAACCCACCCAGAACCACCAGCGCCCACCTTGGAACACAAACCAGACCCCACGCGCCAGCCGGGTGGAGGCACGAGGCCATGCTCCTGATGCTGGATGCCCCACGCCAGCCCATTTGCCCCCGACCCAACCGACCCTTCCAGCTCAGCCACGGCCCTTCAGAGGCAGAGCGGGGGCCACGATGCCCGGGTCTGGGTTCTCAGCTACTTCCCAGCTGGGAGATCCTGCCCAGTGACTCAGCCTCCCAAGGAATCCCCACCCATTTCCTCACCTGAGAACCTGAGAACCGGGAAGGCTCCCACCACAGGAGGATGGGGGACTAAATGAATTCACGTGGGCAGCACAGCATGGGGGCCACACTCCATCGGTGTAGGCTGTTGTCACCTTTAGGCTTTCTCGGGGGAGGGGGCAGCGCAACCACTCATATCACCAACCTTTGGGTCCCTATGGGGGCCCAGAATGCTGACGTTTCATCAGGGCTGGAGACCAGGCTGTGACTCCCACTCAGAACCCATGTCCCCTGTGACTCAAGCCACCTCCCAACCCCAAACGAGGTCTTGGCTCAAGCACTGGAGAGGCAGCCAGTGAAGGCAGTTGAGTGTCCTCAGGCGGGGGACACTGCCCTGGCCACCAGAGCCTCACCTGCCCCCAACATAATGGGGGACCACAAGCTAGCCTTCTCCTCAAGGTGGTCAAGATGACATGTGCCCAAGGGAAGGCCGCGTCTGAGAAGCATGCAGAGCGGGAGAGAAGGTGCCCTGCTCAGGGCCCGGTGGGGAGCCCATTGGGACGAGGAAGACAAGCCAGGCCTCCAGGGCCACGCGGTAGGAGGGGAACACAGGCTAAATTAAGGCTCCTCCTGCCACCAGTGCCCAGGTTGACATCCACACAGCCCGCCCACTTAGCAGCAGGCTGCAGCCCCCCCGCACAGCTCCAGGGTCGCCCGGAACAACCCTGGAGTACTAGCTGCAGGCCTCGGCTCCCTGCGCCTCCTACCCCAGGACAGCGCACCGGCTGTGCCTAGGACCTCAGCTGTGCGGCATCTCCAAGAAGTGTCCACTCAACACCCTGTTCCACGGGCCTTGTTTCTGTCCTAACATGGCCACAGGCCAGTTCTTCTTCCTGGTTTCTGTGCCACCCTCCCAGTTCATTATCGGTCTGTTGCCACAAGAGTGTCAGATGGTGACACGAGGGGCTGGCCTCGGTCATCTGTGGGTGTCCAGCCCCTGAGTGGCGGCCCTGCGCTGAGCAGGTGCTCAATCAAATTGGGTTAGATAAGCGAGCCCAGGCTACCTGTCTCCTGAAGGCTCTGCACGAACACTGCAAGGGAGCAGGCACCCGCTTCCCGGGAGCCGGCTCTGGGCAGAGCACCGAGCGCTGAGTACACAAGAGGGCCCCAGCTGCGCCGAGGGTGGGACCCTCATCCCGATAGAAGGATGGGTGCGGGGAGGGATGTCAAACACTGGTGCCCTCACGGTTCTGGGGAGAATGCCAGGCACTCACCCAAGGCCTCGTGACGCTGGTGGAACCAAGATTCAAACCCACACAGGCTCTAATCGCCCAGCTTCACGGACCCCTCCCGGGGCCCTCAACTCTTCCTGAACAACAGTGCGTTGCCCTCCACCAAGGAGCTTGCAATCCACGAGAGGAGGCCACCCAGCAGCAGAACGCGTCCGAGCCCCCAGTGACAAAATATAACCCAGGTGGTCAAGGCAGGTGCCCCTGGGAGGGTCACTTCCTCAGAGCAGTCGGAAGAAATTTCTCCAGCAAGTGAGGGACACTGTCCTGGAAGGATGATGTCCTCTCTCTCCTCTTCCAGAAGTGACCCGCCAGAGAAGAAAGGGAGATCCGTGGAGCAGCCGCCTCAGAATCCGCACGGGTTTTTACACTCAAAGAAAAACTGCATGCAGTCCAAGGTGGGCTGGGAAGGCCAGCAGCTATGGAGACTGCTCCTCCAGGCTGGCCACCGGGTCTGCATCAGGGCGGCTCCAACTTCAGACCCCTCTAGGGAGAGAAACCCCGAGGGCCCCTACCTGGGCTGCTCGTGGTCATCCCAGAGAAAGTTCCACATCAAGTCCCATTCCAGCTCCAGCCGCACCTGAATTTGTAAAAGCCTCTCTGCAAGTTGTCTACTGGCAAACCATATAATCACAGCACTGGGGAACAGAAAACTGCGGCCGCCGGCCGACAGAGTTGTCCTCGTGAGGTAACCAGTAAGCTTCTCCAGTCACACAATCAAGTTCTTCAAGCCGCCTTCCCCGTGCCCACCGCCGAAACCACAGGCAGCGGCGGAGCTGCCCTGACCTTAGCTCAGTCCGCCACACTGCCCGATGGGCAAGATTACACAGGAAAGTTGCCGGGCCACTTAAACTACCAGAGAGCTTTTGAGAAAAACGCAAGTTCAGATTATCCCAGCCAGCCAAGTTGCTCCAGGCGGCTCAGAGAAGTTCTTCTGGGGCCCCTCCTGGCTAGTCAACACTCGCCTACACAGCCGAGCTCCCAGTGTGCAGAGCTTAACAGTCCGCAGCTCCCTTCACCCTCGCGGGAGGAAGATTCAGCTTAGTGAGGGGATGTAACCAACACCCTGAATTAAAAATAGCAGCGTGACAACATGAGGTGGACGCACAGGCGGGCCTTCCGGACTGGAGCAAGTGAGGGCAGCATCGGTGAGAGGGCGGTGCTCCTGGTCCCAGAAGCACAGAAGACGGTGGTGACCAGGTAGCAATTCCGCCTTATTTACATGACTCATGAGCTCTTCCCTGGCCGTGTCTAGGAAAGCCTGCCTTCCTGCAGGACAAGTCAGCATCACCCAGGGAAAAAGACTCAAGGCCAGAATTCCACCAGGAAGAGAGGCTCAGGCTGGTCACTAAGCAGCAGCGGCTGCCACTGCCACCTCCTCCTCCTCCTCCTCCTCCTCCTCCTCCTCTTCACCTGCAGGGGCGCCTTAGCCTCATCCTGGAGAGTCATTCTGACAAGGTGAGAACTTGCTCTTCCAAAAAAGATGAAATCTCCATTCTATGAAAGGGAAAACTGAGACACCGAGACAGGAAGGAAACTGCCCAAAGAAGTAGGAAGAAGCGTGGGAGGGGTGGACACCGGGAGAGCCGTGGAAACGAAACAGGGGAAGAAATTCCCGGCTTAGCTAATGGTGCTGAACAAGTCTGGGGCAGGAAGAAAGCCACATTCCTTCCTAGTTAGTAGTCTCTCTCCTCACCCGCCCGTGCCCCCCCTCAATCCCCAGTATATACAAACACGCATATGCAGGGAGCGGGGCCTCCAGAGCCTGAGACCACACGCACCACCATCCCCAGCCACCTTATAACTACGAAGCCCCCAATTTCCAGAAAAAGAGTTAAAACGTTCCCAAACCACTTCCCCTCAGGACCTGGCCACTGGGCATCTGCAACTTCTGTCCCAACACAGACAGAGGATGCCATGACACAAACAGAAATGGGAAGAGGCAAGTTTCTGACCACGGCCCCAGATGTGCCCCAAAATCAGGCCTGAAAGAAGGTGCACAGCAGCCTCCCCTCCCCACCGCCTGCCAGGTGGCAGAAATGAAATGCCTCAAACTTCCCCAGATGTGCCCAAATTGGCCCCTGAGAAAAATCAAGAGTCAGCAGCCAGGTGCAGTGGCCATAGCTTCCTCCCGGGTGCCCACTATGGCCAGGGATCCCCCACATATGCCTTTAGGAAAACATCACAGCCTCCCCCCAACGCTTCCACTCTCCAAAGGTGTTCACTAAGACAGGGTCACCTAGGGGAGGGAGAGCAGGGAGCAAGCTCTCAGTTTCTGCCCAAACTCCCCCTCCCAAGAATCAAAAGAGTGAGCCCAACCTGAGGAGCTTCATTGGAAAGCATCGAAGTCGGCCCCCAGGTGCAGAGACAGCCTCCAACCCACACGAAACAGGCCCCCACAGGTGCCCCAACAGTGCCCCGCTGACCCACCCTGCAAGGGACCTAAACAGAAAAGCTGCTTCCCAGGAGAGCAGACACAGGCACCCCCATCAACTGCCCTTCCCAGGGGCCCAGATGGAGAAGCCCTTAAGATCGGCCCCCACCCCACCGTGCCCGGGCAGCGCTGCCCACCGCCCCCACACTCGGCCGCCAGGTGCGCAGACCAGTTCCTGCCCAGGTGCGGGGCGGGCCAGGAAAGGCCCCGGACGTCCCCAGGTGCCGGCACTAACGCTCCCCTGGCCAGGGGCACAAGTTTGGGCCCCTAAGCAGCCCCGGGCCGCCCGCCTGTGTTGCCCCCTGGTGCCGAGAAGGAAGTCAGTTGCTTGCGCTCCAGGCAGGACGGCGGCCCACCCCGCGCCCCGCCGGCCCAGGGACCCGCGAGCGGCACCGCGGACCCCGCACCCGGGCGCCGCGACGAGAGGGGCGCGAGGCCGGCTCGCGTCCTGACGGCCGCGCCGGGCCCGAAGCCGCTCACCTGGTTGGCGCGGTAGCTCTCGAAGGCCCTCAGGGCACTGTCGGTGAGCTTCACGTGGAACACAGACACCTTGCTACCGTCGCTCACGCGCCCGCACGACAGCCCATAGCTCCGAGCCTCCTTCAGCGCCGCCATCTTGCGACCGTCGCTCCCCCGCCCCCCTTCCCGGCCCCAGCGCCGGCGCCCGCTGACGTGCTGCATTATTCATAAGACGCCGGCGGCCACGCCCCCTCCGATTCCCGCGATGCCAACAGCCGCCGGCGCGCTGCTTACCGACGTGCTACATTATTCATGAGCCGTGTTTGGCCACGCCCCCTGCGGGCCCGACTAGGCGCTCCATCTGTCCTCCGACTGCCTGCATATTCATAAGGCACGGATAGCCCCGCCCATCCAGGCCCCTGAGGCGGCCACTTCTGTGCGCGAACTCCGCCTCCACACGCGCACCTCTCCAGGACCCGCCTCCACGTGGATTATGCATGATCCTGACTCAGCCGGGAGCATCGAACCCCGCCCCCAGGGTGCTGACGTGATGCATTATTTATGAGCTCGCTCGTGCCTTCCGTCTTTGGCTACCGTTGAGAGCCCTAGCGAGGGCGTGGAGCGGGCGGGGCCGGCACAAAACACGTGGGGGGAGGGAGCTCGCAGCTGGTCGGGTTGGTGGGCGTGGCTATGTAAACGACGCGCGCGTTGGACGCTGGGTTAGCGGATGGGGCTTCCCTTAAGGTGGGCGGTAGGTGGAGGAGGAGCCTGTAAACTTTGCTTATAAGTAGAATTTTAACAGTAAAATCCCACATCCCCACAGGCCCAGAGCGATGGTGGAGTCCAGCTCCATTTTCTAAAAAATTTTTCTGGATTTTAGTTTGCATGTAAACTTCATCTACTCAATTTAAGCTGTTCAGTAGTATTTAGCGCATTCAGAATGCTGTGCCACCGTTGCCACGCGCTGCGGTGATTTCAGAACATTCTCATCACCCCTAAAGGAGATCCAGGCCCCATTTGCAGTCATGCCCATTCCCCTCCCCAGCTGCTGAGAACCACCAATCGGTTTCCTGTCTCTAGGGATTTGCCTGATGTGGACGTTTCCTATAAATGAAATCATACACCGTGTGGCCTTCTGTGTCTGCCTTCCTCCACTCAGTATAATGTTCTCAAAGTGCATCAAGTTGATAGCATGTTACCAGTGCTTCATTCCTTTTCGTGGCCGCATAATATTCCACACTTTGTTTACCCACTCATCTGTTGACGGACGTTTGGGTTCTCCCCCTTTTTCACCATTATGAATAGTACCTTTACCAACATTGATGTACAAGTTTTTGTGTAGACAAATGTTTTCCCTTCTCTTGGGTATACAGTAGATCCTCAGATAATGTTGTTTCATTATAACGCTGAGGGGGGGAGAAATTGATTCCCAGCCACGGCCGCTGCCTGTGTGGAGTTTGCACATTCTTCCCAGGTCTGTGTGGGTTTTCTCCAGGTACTCCAGTTTCCTCCCACATCCCAAAGATGTGCATGTTAGTTTAAGTGGCTTGTCTAAATGGTCCCAATCTGAGCGACTGTGGGTACGTGTGAGTGCGCCCCTGCAATGGTTCCTGCCTTCCATCCCTGAACCGCCAAGATATCTCGGGCCAGCCTCAACCCTGAACTGTAACGATTGAGTAAATAATTATCTCACTTGTTTTTATAAATCTTTCTTAAATGTATGTATAGCTCACATTTATTTCCATGTTTAACATTAGAGCCAGGCACGGTTATACATCATTTCGCTTAAAGTCCCAGTTTCCAAGAACCTATAAATGATGTTAAGCGAGGACTTACTGTATACCTAAGAGTGGAATTACTGGGTCATATGGTGATTCCACATTTAACCTTTTTCTTTTTTCTTTTCTTTTTTTTTTTTTTTTTTTGAGACAGAGTCTCTGTGTTGCCCTGGCTAGAATGCAGTGGCATCATCATAGCTCAGTGCAACCTCAAACTCCTGGGCTCAGCCTCCCAAATAGCTGGGACTACAGGCCTGCACCACCACATCTGGCTAATTTTTTCTATTTTTAGTAGAGACGGGGTCTCGGTCTTGCTCAGGCTGGTCTTGAACTCCTGACCTCAAGCGATCCTCCTGCCTCGATCTCCCAAAGTGCTAGGATTACAGGCGTGAGCCACTTCACCTGGCCAGAGCCATCTTAATTACCCTCCACCATGCCTCCAAGTCCCTGGGTCCAGAAAGGGATTTCTGAATGTTTTCTCATTGAACATCCCAGCACAGGGCCTGGCAGGAAATATGTGTTGAATGAATAAATGATTTCATTTAGTGCTCACGACTTAGCTATCAGCCCACTTTGTAGATGAGGAAACTGAGGCAAGATCTCATGCATTGCTGCAGAGATTACAACTCCAGCCTGTCGGCACTCAGAGCCAAAGATCTAGATCTTCCACCCTTCACCTGGGATCAGCTGGTCCTACAGGGAGAACGCTGCTGCTTACCCAGACACGCTGGCCCGTTTGCCCACCGTCTGTGCCAGCTATTGATCAGGGAGGCTGGGCCGGTAAATACTGAAGCCACAGGGCTGCAGTGCTCAGGAGGTCACAGAAGGGAAAAGCAGCTGGGGCTTGAAAGATCTGTAGTAAGAAGAGAGAAGGGTGGAGACAGCTAGGCTGCCCACTGGAGGGCCATGTGGGAGGAGCCGACTTTGAGGGCCAACCAGCTTGCTGTGTGACTTTGGGAAAGGCACCATGTCTCTCTGAGCCTCTCTGGATTTGCCTGAGAAACAGGCAACAGAAATAATAACAGCTACCCAGCACTGAGCACTTAACATGCACCAGGTTCTTGGCACCTTGGCTGCCCACTGGAGTGGATATGGTGGTTTGGACCCATCTGCCAGATGAGGAAACTGAGGCCTGGAAAGGTTAAGGGAAGGGAAGATTTAGAGAGGTTAACCATGGGCTGCACTGCTTGGTAACAAGCATTTCTGCACTTTCCATTTGATTCCCAGTGGCTCTCAATGGGACCCCAAGAATGGTAAGGAAAGAAGCATCAGGCATTGGCAAGCTCTCCACAAGTCTCTACAAACCAGGTCACCTAAGAAATCGAAAGCCAGTTGATCACCATGTGGTGGCCCATTGACACATACTCCATCCGGTGAGCTCTGTAATGGGGACAGTGCCTCCAGCCTCCCCTCACTCCCTGTGTGGCCTTGGACATGTCTTGCCCTCTCTGTTCCTCAATTTGCTCATCCAGAAGATAGGGGTAATAATGGCACCTGCTTCAGAGCCCTGGGAAGGTTGTCCTATGAAGATGACACAAGGCTGCGACATGTGTAGGTCGCCCTGTCGAAGGGCTCCAGAAACAGCTCACACACGCGCAAAGCTCACTTCTGACTGGCAGCCGTGGGAGCCACGCCCCTTGAGGGCAATGCCAAGCTAAGCCACTGCTCAAGGCCAAGTACACGGCAGGTGCTGGTAAATGTTTGCTATGAAAGGAAAAAGTCCATCCTGGCTGCTCTCCAAACGCACCATGCACAGTCCAGCCAGCACACCTTTGCACGCGCTATGCCTGGCGCCAGGAAAGCACAGACGTTCATGAAGGGTTGAAGAAGTGAAAGGGTAAAGGTCAGAGGGCAGGGAGGTGTGGAACGGCAGATGGGCAGAACTCGGGCTTTGGAGGCGGGTGACCTGGGCCGAATCCTGCCTGCTGGGTGAGAGCTGTCTCCTCTTTGGGTCTCTGCTCAGCTAATCATGGGCACAGCCAAAGCAACCTTGGAGAACAGGAGCAAAGGTGGGAACACACAGGGCCTCACTCCGGCGTTACTGAAAGGCGATACAGTCTCCCGGACAGTGTGGGACACACCAAGTGGACACAGAGGCCCTCGGTATGGAGCAGAGAAAGCTGCATGGGCCAAGGGGACGGATAAACCTGAGACAAAAGTAGAGTCCAGAAAGACTCGCAAGTGTGGGGTCAGCTGGTTTTTAACAAAACTGCCACAGTCCCACACTAGGGAAGAGAAGTCTTCCTTACATGCACAGATGTCCCAGGTGAGCGTGTCCTGAGAGCTCTGCCCACATGAGGATTATCACGGGAGTGGGACTGGTGGCTTTATAAGAAGAGGAAGACAGCTGGGCGCAGTGGCTCACGCCTGTAATCCCAGCACTCTGGGAGGCCGAGGCGGGAGGATCATTTGAGGTCAGGAGTTCCAGACCAGCCTGAGCAAGAGCGAGACCTCGTCTCTACTAAAAATAGAAAAAATTAGCCAGGTGTGGTGGTGGCACCTGTAGTCCCAGCTACTTGGGAGGCTGAGGCAGGAGGATCACTTGAGCCCAGCAGTATGAGGTTGCAATGAGCTATGATGATGCCACTGCACTACAGCCAAAGCAACAGAGAGAGACTGTCTCAAAAAAAACAAAAAACAAAAAAAACCGAAACAAAACCAGGCAGAGAGACCTGAGCTAGCATGCTCAGGCCCCTCCCCATGTGGTATCCTCTGCTGTGGCCCCTCAACCTCGGACTTCCCAGCCTTCCTAACTGTACAGAATAAATTCCTTTTCTTTATAAATTACCCAGTTTCAGGTGTTCTATTATAAGCAATAAGAAAGAGACTAAGACAGACCTAAAATGTAAAAACTAAAGCATTAAGATGTTAAGAAAACCTTTGCAAACTTAGGCTCAGCAAATATTGTCTACACAAGAAGCAAAAGGAACAGAAAACAAAAACTGATCTACTGGACTTCAGGGAAATTTACATCTGCTCTTTTGTTTTTGTTTCTGAGACAGGGTCTCGCTCTGTCACCCAGGATTGGAGCCTCAAAGTCCTGGCTCAAGTGATCCTCCTGCCTCAGCCTCCCGAGCAGGTGGGACTACAGGCACACACCACCACGCCCGGCTAATTTTTCTACTTTTTGTAGAGACGGGGTCTTGCTCTTCCTCAGGCCGGTCTCGAACTTCTGAGCCCAAACGATCCTCCTGCCTGGGCCTTGCAGAGTGCTAGGATTACAGGCGTGAGCCACTTCATCCACCTTGGGTGACACTTGGCCAGAACGTCTGCTCTTTAAAAAAGACACCGTGAGAAAATGAACAGCAAGCCATAGAATGAACGAGAAAAATGTTCACAATATATCCCTGTGACAAAGGACCTGTCCCCATAATACACAAGAAGCAGGCACGGAATGAAGCTGCCGTGGGTACCCAGGGGACTAATGCCGCCTGGCAGGTGCTCAGCACTTGGGAATGACAGTGACACTGATGAGTCTCATACAGGGTTGGACTAGATGGTCACCCCAGGTGGCCCAAGGTCTAGCTGGCTGTCACGTAGCCCAGTTTTCCATCCTGTGCCTGAGAGCAGAGTATTGCCCAGGTTGGTGAGACTGAGAAAAGATGGGGGCCCTGTCTTGGAGTGTCCACAGCCACTACCTCAGAGCATCCAGCAAAGCCCCCTTCCAGTCTGAGAACAGGGTTGACACCAACAGGGACTGAACCGCTGGAGAGGAGACAGACTCAAGCCATATGCAGCCTCGTGTCCTGAGAGTCACCCGGGTGGCCTGGAGAGCAAGGGCCTGGAAGCAGGGAGGGTACAGACTTAGGTTCCAGGCCCGAATGCCACCTTCTGCTCGGTGGCCGTGGCAGGTGGCTCCCCTCCCAGGATATAAGGGGAGGATGCAGGCGAGATAGTCATGGTGGTCTGTTTTCTGGGACACCCTCATTCCTGGAGACAGGAGGGAACAGCAGGAAGGAGGGCCACAGGTGTTGGGCTGACAGAGGCCCCGCTGCTGGCTCTGCTGCTCCTGACTGTGGCGGTGAGACATTAATGGGAGTCCCAAGTTGTGGCGTGTGCCAAATGGGACCTGGGGAGCACCTGAAATCAGCCCTGACCCCTTCCCACGGCCTCCGGAGCCCTGCAGGGCCTGGCCTCATTGACTACCCACCTTCTTCAATCTTGGACACATCAGGCTCAATCCTGCCCCAGGGCCTTTGCCCTGGCTGTGCCACCACACAGACCCCATGGTCACTGAGGGCTCTCGGCGCACAGCATCCCCCAAGAGAGGCCTTCTTGGCCCCCCCACCACGCCCCTTTGCAAGCCGCATTCTAGCTCCCATGCCCTGCCCCCCATGGATCCTGCCTGTGTCTTTGGAGAGCAGCGACCCTGCCTCTGCAGCACGTCCACTAAGGAGGGGGGTCATTCCACAGAATCCACGTGGCAGTGTCAAGTTAGGGTCTACCAGCCTCCTGGACTTCAGCTGAGGAAACAGGTATGAGAAGCACAACACTGGGGTCACTGGTGGAGCTGGGCAGGAACTCCCACAGGGTCCAGCCGGGTCAGGGCTCTCGGCCTGGTTCTGCCTGCTCCATTACCCCACTTCTCCAGGCCTCAGTTTCCCCTGTGTAAAGCGGGGCTGCTGTGCCCAGAGAGGAAACCCCGGCTATACCCTGGCTCAGATGCATCCATAGTGCTCTGTGACCCCGGACGTGTCGCAGGCCGTCTCTGGCCCAGCCGCCCCAGGCGGTGAGGGAAGGAGGCTCAGGAGCCGACAGAGTGCAGGGCGGGAGGCTTTATTTCACGGCGGGGGAGCCTGGACAGAGGGCGGCAGGCGGGGCAGGAGGGGCTGGCACTCAGGCGGGGACTAGGCAGAGCAAGGGCCTGTAGAGAAGGAGAAACTAAGGCTGGCCCCGGTTGAGACCTAACCCAGGTGGGTGGGGGCTGGGGGGGAGGAACAGGGTCTGGAGGAATGAGGGCCCCTCCCTCTGGGCTGGACATGGGGCCCCGGCCACACCTGGCTTTCCTCCCACAGGGCCTTAGTGCCTCTGCTCACTGGGCGCATGACCCCCAGTCCTTGCTGCCCCCCACCCGGAGGAGGGGGCTAGGCCAGGGAGAGCAGAGGACAGGGAGCTTGAGGGAGTAAGGGAGCGCGGGGTGGGGTCCACGGTGTGCGGAGGGGGCGGCAGCCACCCAGGCAGTCAGTTCCTGGCAGCAATGACCACAGAGAGAGCCACGCCCCCTAGGGCGACAGCAGTTGCCCCAAACAGCCACTTCCATGGGATAGACTGTGGACAAAGGGGAGGGGAGAGATGACCAGAGAGTGGTTAAGAGTGGCCTCTGGGGCCTCAGCTGCCAATATGGCCCAAACAGGCCTCCCAGCAAATCACTGCCTGACCATTCCTTTCCTGCCTCCTGGCAAACTCCTACTCATATAGCAAAACCCAAATCAAACATCCCCTCCTTCAGGACACCTGGCCTTCTGCCCTGGAAGAGCCTCCATTCCCCACCCTGAGCCCTCCAGCTTTTGCCCTGGCCCTGGCCACATAGGGCTGGGGCCTCTCTGTGTCCCTAGCATCGCTCAGCATGGCCCAGTCGCCGAGGACATCCATGTTTGCAGAACGAACAAATTACCTCTGTTAAGCATGCCCTGCCCATGGCCCCTGCCCTGCCTTCTGGGAGCCCCCGCACCCTCTGGCCTCAGCTCACCCAGGCGCCCTTGCCGGGACACTTGGCGGGCAGTCGGCTGGGGTTGCCCAGCATTTTCCGGTACAGGGCGGTCTCCGTGCTCCGCTGAGCCGCGTGTTTCTTCACCAGCTTTGAGAGCTCCGCGTGGATCGTCTGTGGGAGGTGGGCGTGAGCTGGGCTGAGAGCACGCGGCAGCCAACCTGACTGTCACCGCTAGTGTTCTGCCTTCTGGGACCCTGGTTCACCTGGGCGCTGGGACTGCTGAGACATGGGGGTTCTGTCTGCCCCTTGCTGGGCTTCAGGAAAACGGGTGCTGCTGACCCCATCCCCCGAGGGAGCAGGTAGATGGGTCAGAGCACAGGGTGGTCAGGAGAGAGGAAGGTTCTGAGGGGAAGGAGGACATCGGCGTTGGTCAGCCAGCTGGCATTGTCCTCAGCCTCTGGGCCCACTGGAGGGGTGAGCCCACACTGACTTGGTGGCAGTCATGAGGGTCTTAGCAAGCTGGGCCAGGGCCCTTCTGCTGCCCACCCCCTGCCACTGCCCAGGTGAGAACACCACAGAGAACCACAGGCAAGACAGACCTGGGGCAGACCACAAGAGGGACTTCCCAGACAGGTCCACAGGGCAAGTCCCCAGGGCACCCCCATCCTGCTCACCTTGTTGGAAGGTTCCAGCTTCAGGGCCGCCCTCAAGATGGGGATGGCCTCACTGTACTCGCCTTGCTGAGCCAGCACCTGCAGGGGGAGGGGCCGGCACCACACTGGACCCCACTGGGCCTCGCTCTCCTTCAACAGGCCCAGCCCTGCCCGGCTCCTGGCCACCATCGCAGGCCCCAGGCCCATGTCCGGCAACAGCCCCGGGGTTCTGACCACCCCACGCTGTTCCCGAGCCTGCAGACTCTGTGCGTGGCACACCTGGCTTGGCCTTGTGCCCCCAACATGCTCCTTCCCCACGTGTCTGTCTTAGCCTGAGCCGGAGATCCGGGCACCCACCTTGCTGTCCCCTCCCCTCACCACCTCAGCTGCCTAGGGAGGCCAAATGGACGTTTTCACAGCTGTGGCCACAGTGACTCAGGGCCAAGCATGTGACCCAAGCCAGCCAATGAGATCCAGCCTGGATTATGTCAGTACCACTGGAAGACCAGTTGCTAAGGGGGGGAGAATAGAAGTCTGGAGCTTTCTGGGAGCTGAGTGGAGGTGGGATCATTGCAGTCACCCTGGGGAAAGGAGCCTGCCTAAGAGGGAAGGTCACGGCAGAGAGACACAGCATCTCCATGACATTGCGAATGCCTGGATCCAGCCATGCCTGAAGCTAGATCCCCTGGACTTGGCCCCATGAGCCACCAATCCCTCCTTTTTGCTTGAACCTGTTGGAGTGGATTTCTGTCACTTTCAACCAGCGGGTCCAAACTTGTATGAGGCTACACGAGCAATCGCTCCTGCTGCCCCCGGGAGCATTACAAAGGCTTCAAAAACAGGGGTGGCACCTTCTTCCTCCCATTTCTCTGCAGAACTCTGCACACAATAGGTGCTTAATAAATGCTGACTGGAGAGAATAAATGCTCAGGCCTCTTACAAACATGCCAGGTGACCCAGCATTTATACCTCAGTTTCCTTTGTTTACTGCTAAAAGGTGCCAAGAGGCCACCCCCACCTGACGCCTATACCCAGCCAGGTCCTCACCAGGCTGAGGACGAACAAAAATGGGGTAAAAACAGTTAAGACCAAGTCTATGCAGGCCGATTCACCCTATATTCCATCTGGACTTTTACTGAGTACCTACTGTGTGCCTGGCCCTGTTCGCGACGTTGGAGATTAAGCAATGAACAAGGCAGACCGAACCCCTGCTTTCTAGAGGGGATGAGAAGAATGTCACCTCTGTGTGCTGTCTGACATGGTGACACGGGAAACAAAGACAGGGAGAGGGGAGGGCAGGGAGGGCCTCCCAAGGAGGTGACACTAAAGACCTGCACCAGGCCAGGGAGGGACCCGCAAGGGTACCTAGGGTATGACCATTTCAGGCAGAGGCCCTAGAGTGGGAACGCAATGGCCTGTGTAGCAAGCAGGGAGGACACTGGGTGGGGTAGAGAGAAGCAGATGAGACGGGAGAGGTAATGGCAAGAAAGGGACAACTAGGTGGCTTAGCGCCCCGAGGGCCGTGACTAGGACTTAGCTTTTACTCTGAGGGAGATGGGAGCCGTGGAGGATTATATGTGAGAAGCATTCACCACTGGGCCAGAAGTGGGGATCCAAAACTCTGGGTTTGGCTCTGGCCTCAGCCAGTGACTTGCTGTGATCAGGCTATACTCCTGCACCTGCTCGGGCCTCAGTTCCTCCACCTGCACCCCAGATAGCTCAGCTGGCTGACACGCATGCCCTCCTCCGTACCACCAGCCCGCGTGGCCCACCTTGCCCTTGCGGAAGAGCGCCTTGATGTTGTCCGGCTGGTGCTCGAGCACCAGGCTGCAGGAGCGCAGGGCCGCGCGGTAGTGGTCCAGCTTCAGCTGCGAGGCCGCCAGGTTGTTCAGACACTTCACCTTCAGCTGCAGGAGCTGCTCCTCCTCCTCGAAGGTCATGTCCACTGCAGGGGAGACAGTGCTCAGCCGCGGCAGCCATCATCACACCCGGCCCGCCAACACCTACCCTCAGCAGGGGGCAGCCTTCAACCCTGGTGGACCTCAGGCCTCTCTGGCCTCAGTTTCCCCATCTCTAACATGGGACCAAGGGCTGCACTTTCCCTAGGCCACCCGAGGGAGCCTACGAAATGGAGCCTGGAGGAAACGAGGGCCTAGACCAGGGGGCACGTGGATTGACGACAATCTACGGTCACACCCGTGCAGTCATTTGCCTGCATTCCCCAACATTCCACGGGTCTGGGATGCACCACGCGTCTGGAGCAGACACTACCTGAAGGTTAGGGATAGTTGAGTATCTGTCCAACATTTGGACTATTCTACGATGTTCTGAGTACCCCTGTGGCTTGAGGTTTCTGGCACTACAAGTGGACGCCTTCGTGGGGGAGGTGGTGAGACTCTGACCCGGCGGTCACCTTTGGCGCTAGAGGTGATGGCCTTGATGGCCAGGTCGTAGGAGTTGGCAGCCAGCACGAAGTCGGCCCGCTGGTAGTGGGCGTTGCCACACTCCCGCTTCCGGTTGGCCAGGGCCACACGCTCCTGCCCCGTGAGCATCTCCAGGTCTGGTCCATCCACGGCCGTCTTCAGGGTCACCTCCAGGCACAGGGCCGCGTGTGGGGGGATATACGGGCTCCTGCTGGGGGGGTGGGGGCGGCCGGGGGCAGCACTCAGACCTGGTGGCCCCCACACCCGACCCCAGACCCGCTGGGTTGGCTCGGGAGCAGGCAAGACGGTGCTCCAGTCCCGGATCTGTCCCCGCCATCACCCCCTCCTCAGGAAAATGCAAGGGAACTAACTCTTGCCACCCTGGGGCTATGTGACTTGGTGAGTGAGTTCCTCTCCCAAAGCCTCAATTTCCTCTATGATCAAACAGGCCGGTGGATGGGGTGAGCCGAAGGGGACACCCACCCTGCCCACCCCCTCATCCCTGCTGGGACATGGCAGGTGGCCGACTCTCACCTGCCCTGGGGGCCATAGCAGTACTTGGAGTCAGCAGTGACCATGGCCGTCTCCCCCACGTCCATGAGTGGGACGCTGAGATCCAGGGCCTGGGTGCACAGGGGCGGCCGGGGATCAGGCGGGCCCAGACCCGGTGAGGTGCCCGCCCTACCCCCTCCCCTGCCCCAGCCCCCACCTGGATGACGTCGCAGTCGCCCAGGGTGAACACCAGCTCTGGCTCCTCCTGCACCCGCGTGCCATTCTCCAGCGACGTCTGTAGCTGCACCGTGACCACCTGGCCCCTGGTAGGGTGGCTCGAGCCGGGTGGCCCTGGGACCAGCGTCTTCTTCCTCAACAGCCCGTTCCCTGCCAGGAGCCGGGAACATGTAGACTGTCACAGGGCGGCTCAGACAGGCACCTGCTCGCCTGAGCACCCCCTCCCCACCCCGAACTCTGTCCACTCACCATCCCAAAGGGACAGCCTAAAACTGGGGCACAAACTGTGTCCAATGTCCCCTCTGCTGTCACATGGGCAGGGGACCCCATGCTGCTGGACACTAGGCAGGACAGGACCAATTTCAGGTGACAATGCTGGCGCTGGGGACAGTGAACAATGGCTGGTCTGGTTGTTTTAAGAAAACCTAAGTGCTCAAGAGACTCAGGCAGGAGGATCCCAAGTTCAAGCCCAGCCTGGGCAAAAGCGTGAGATCCCCATCTCCAAAAAACAAAAAACTGAGGCTCAGCGAGGACAAATCCTTGGATTCAAATCATAGCCCCTGGGCCACTGGGCCTCAGTTTACCTAACCATAAAATGGGGTGATCATAGGGCCTCCTGGTGGCACCCAGTAAGCATTTGTGTAGTTAGCAGAGCGCCTGTGACACCGTATATCTCTACCAAAGCACTGTGTGCACTGAACTTAACAGTTCAACAGAGCCAAAGAGCTCATCAACAAAAGCAGCCCTGGCCCCCCACCACCCCCTGGAAGGAAATCACTGTCTGTTCTCTCGGCCACCGCAGCTGGCGTCCCTGCTTGCACCACAAGCGATCACAGCAATGGTTAAACAGCCACAGCCAACATTGACTGAGCACCGGGCAAAAGGCCCAGCGCCCTCGCAAATGCACTCAGGGAACCCACAGTGACAACACCCATTGTCATCCCTCGGCTACCGCTGGGGTGACTGCTGCTAGCACCACATTCAACAAAGCAAGAAACGGAGGCACAGAGAAGGCAGGTGACTTGGTCCAGGACACACAGCCTCATCTTCCTCGGGGCGCTCCCAAGGTGTTGAAAAAAGGGAGCCTTAGCTAAACGAGGGCTAAACCTGTGGGGCGCATCATTCTGGTCTGTGGTCACTCACGTTCCCACGTTTACCTGTGTTCTATAATATGCCATCGGTCTAGTCCACAAATCGGAGTGGACTCTAGCCTAAGAGTTAGGGACAGAGATGTCTCCATTCATATTCTGAAATATTCTAGAATATTCTAATTTCTGTTCTGCTCCCCATCTTCAATATGCACCCCCCAATCCAGTACGGGAACTACCAAACTATCGAGACCCTGTCTCTACTAAAAATAGAAAAATCAGCCAGGCATGGTGGCGCACGCCTGTAGTCCCAGCTACTCAGGAGGCTGAGGTAGGAGGATTGCCTGAGCCCAGGAGTTTAAGGTTGTAGTGAGCTACGGTGACACCACTGCTCTCTAGCCAGGATGACAAAGCAATACCCTGTCAGCATCCAGCCACTGTTAACATAACGAGAATGGTTACGTGGCTGGATCCTTTCTGGACAGTCGTATGTAAACACAGTGCCAACCTCGTGCTCAGAAGGGCAGCTCTCACTCTCAGCATCAGTAGGAAAGAACGGCTTCCCAAACTCTAAAATAGCTAGGGAGGCTGTGTGACCTTGAGCAAGGGCCTTCCCCTCTCTGAGCCTCAGTTTCCCCATCTGTAAAATGGGGATATCATGGGAGTCACATCACAGGGCTGCTGTAAGGATAAAATAAGATGCTGCAGAGGCCTGGCACAGAACCAGTGCTCAGGAAGGATTACCTGGTATTATTTTTAGGAGCAGTAAGATTAGTAGTGGTGGTGATATTAGTAGTAACATTTCTGGTTTTTTCCCAGTGTCACTATTCTTTGATACTACTGATAGAGTATAACCAGTACTACTGATCACAATGATGACGTTTTATTATCATTCGCCTGGGCACTAACATCATATGGCATATCAGGTATCAGCACTGCACTTATAGCAACACATTTTCCACGGAATGCTAACGCTTTGTGGTTTTCAGAGTAGCCGTGCAGAGGTACACAGGCAGGCCACGTGTGTGGGTTCACCAAGTTCCTTTCTCGCAGGACTTCTCTGAGCATCTACAGATGCTCTACACTAACGGATGCTGTGAACCGGCCAGAGAGCTAAACAAAATACGACACCCCCCAGAACTACAGGACCCCTGGACACATCTTTCAAGGGACAAACCAGCATCACACAAATGCTGAGAAAAGACTGTGCGGGGACAGATGCTGCTGATGCCTAGGCGTGCTGGCTGTTTGGCTCTGGGCAGGTGACTCAGCCTCTCTGGGCCACTGCTAGCAGCTCTGGGAAACAGGGCCACAGCACATTGTGTGGGCATGTGCGCAAAAATGAATGGGGTTCGTAAACACCAAGTGTCTCAAGTAGTTGTCTGTGGTTGGCAATCACCGTGGTTACCATGTGTTACTTCCAACCCTCACAGCAGAGATGGGGAAATGAGGCTCAGGGGACAAGAGGGCCAGGGCCAAAGTCACTCCTGAACCTGAGCTGTCTGGGCCCTCTGGGTGAACCCGATCGACCCTTGTTCCTTACCCAGGACATCCAGCCACTCTTCCGGGGCCGGGGCTGGAGCAGGCTCGGGCTCTATGGCAGCTAGGAACTCTCGGGCCAGGGCCCCAGGCTGCTGCTCGGCCTCCTCTGGTGGGGGCTGCCCCATGTCCTCGAGAGGTGGCAGCTCACTCAGGTCATCCTCCTCTTCTTCTTCCTCCTCCTCTTCCTCCTCGCCCTCTGCATCCTCGACCCCATCCAGCACCTCGAAGTCCTCAAGCGGTGGGACCCCAGCAGGCGGCGGGGCAGCGGGCTCAGAGGGCTCCGCGCAGGATGCCATGCTGCTGGGGGCACAGGAATTGGCCCTGGGGAGTGGGATGGATGGGGGTAAGAATCCCACCCACCCAGCCACTGAAGTCTTCTCTGTACGCGTTCCCCACACTGCAGATCACTTGCTATGTGACTCAGGGGCTCCAGGCCTCAGTTTCACAGGTGTAAGGTATAACAACAATCTCAGCTCGTTGGGAGGAATTAACCCACGTGTCAAGCCCCGGGCATAGGGCTCAAGTAGAATTAGCTATTATTAGAGCTAATTATTATTTAATGTTTATAAACACGCCCGGAAGTAGGGAACATCCCCCCAACATTCTGCAGAAAAGGAAGTTAAGGCCAGAGAGGCACAGCCATTTGCCCAAGGTCACAGAGCAAGTCAATGGCAAAGGCAGGATTTGAACCTGGGGCTCTAGACCCTGGGGTTTTACCTGATTCAATGCCGAGGGAGAGTGCTGGGAATTTTTTGGAGGGGACAGCCCCTGAGGCCCTGGGGAAGCCATTTTTAGGGCCACTGGGCCACTTGGGCAATTTAATCTTTCCCCTGGGTTCCCATTTCCAGCTGCCCCTTCTCCGAAGGGGAACCCCCTCCCAACAGCGCCGGCCCTAACCACCCACAAACCCAAAGCCTTTTACCTTCCAGACACTGCCTCTAACACCACTCCCCAACCCCAATGTCAGGGACCCTGGCCAAAGCCTGGGAGCTCTGCCTCCTCTCATCAAGGCCTCCCTCCCACCCCCTGAAAGCAGCCTGCTTTACTGGAGTGGTCCAGATCCCACTGATTCTACTTCTTCCTTACCTCAGGCCTGTTGGGAACCCCTAGCCCAGACTGTACCCTCATGTACCGATCCCTCTCCCCAAGGCCCCAAGCTCAGAGGAGGTACAGCCATCATTCTAACGCACAGCATCCCATACCTAACCTTCACCTGCCTGCTCCTTCCGGGCTCAGGCCCCATTTTCTGAGACCCTCCCCGCCCCCACCCCCACAATTCCCCGCGTCCGCACAAATCGGCCTCTCGCGCCCCAACCACGGTCGCCCCCAGCCCGGGCCACCTCCCCCCACAGACGCTCCGTCGCCCCGTAAACATTCTTGTGTCCCCAGACGCCCCTCTCCCGATCCCACAGCACCCTACGCACTCCGAACGCCCCCCGCCCCGGCCTGCGCCTCCCTCGACCCCCTACCCAGGGGCCCAACGCCCCACGCTCGTCTGACGCCACCAGTCTGGGGCCCCGGACCCCCGCACCTCTCGGGCGCCCCCGGCCCTGCACATCTCCGTCGGCAGTCCCCCACTAGACCCCCTCCGCCCCCGGGACCCCCACCCCCAGCCGCCGCCACCCGGCCGCACCCCCTCGGGCACCCCTCGACCTCTCGAGCCCCCCGCTCGCCTCCCCCGCGGCCCCTCGCCCCGCCCAACGGCCGCAACCGCCGCTGCGCCGGTCCCCGAACCGACCCAGGCCAGGGCAGCGCCCTCAGCCGGCGCGGCACCCCCCGGCGCCGCGGGACACGTGCCTCCGGCTCCGGGACCCCAGCCTGGGGTCCTGCGCCCCCCTCCCCGCCCCCAGCCGCGGCCGCCGTGCCTCGGGAACCAGGTTCGGACGCCCAGCCCCGCCTCCGCCGCTCACATTGGCCGCCGCCGCCGAGACTGCCATGCGCATTGGCTCACGGACACGTCCGTCCCAGGCGCTGGCACCACCCCCTTCCTGCTTGGCTCCGTGGGACATTCTTAAAGCGGCAGAAACCTCCAGGCCACTTGCGGCGGGGGCGAGGGGCTCTAGGCTGGATCCCAAACAGGAGTCAGTGCCGCGCAGTTTGCGCGACTCCCGGATCCCGTCTGAGTTTTATCCTGCTCATCTGCAAAATGGGGATACCTCCATCCATGCACTCTCACCTTGGGGGCTGCCCGGAGGACAGCACTAAATGGTGTTTCCTTAAGGAGCTCAAGCTTGCCGGTCATGGCAGCTCTGGGATTGCTGAATAAGCCTCCCTCCTTAAAGCCCTAGTTAGAGAAGTGGACCCGAGGTCCCAAGGAGGAGCGACGTGCCCAGGGACACACAGAAACCTACCCCCACTCCCACGTGGTCTAATTCCCAGAAGGTTGCCTGGCGCATACAGGAGGTGCTCAATAACAGCTAGGTTGGCGACTGAGGGTGCAGGGCCACTGGGAGGAGTCCTTCCTCCACACACCCTCTGGCGGAGGGTGATAAGGTGCCCATGCGCCCGACAGAAAGTGGCATCCTCGATTAAATTGGTTTTTATAGAGCTTGTTTTGAAACTGGGCACACTTACTCCTCTCTCACTCTGTTTTATTTATTTCCCAGCAGTTACCCTCTTCCAGAATGATCTTGTCACTCTTTTACTTCCGGGTCCCCCCACCCTCCACTCTGCTCCATCCTCGCAGGAATTTTTGCCTGTTTTGTACTCAGTACCTCCTTCAACCATGCCTGGCACCTATGGGAGCTCAAGAAGTGAATAAATGAATGAATGAATGAGTCCGACACTGGCTTTTGGAGGTAACTAACTTTTCAGATAGGAGTTCCCAGCTTGCCTTCTACGGAAGCCCTCCCAGACCTCCCCAAGGCAAAGCTAGGCGCCCCACCTGGCATGATGACCCTCCACTTCGTAACTCATTTACTTGCAGCCATGCCATCATTCGATTTAGTTCTGCCTCGCCCGCTAGACTGGAAGACCCCAAAGTCTGAGAAGGCTCTTGTTTTTATTGTAGCCTGCACAGTGCATGGCACAAAATGGGGGAGGGGGAAATCATCATGGAAGGAGAGGAGGCAGGCTGGCCAGGCAGGAGAGGTGGTGGGGCAGCCGGGGGCATGTGAGGAATCACCTGGGAAGGGGCATCAAATAAGCTGTGGGCCAGTCCAGGTTCTGAGGGCCCTGGACTATTCCCCATCCATCTCTGAACCCTAGTGTCTTTATCTGCACAGTGGGGTTACCTGCCCATCCGTTCACAACTGTGTTGCAGGGGCTGGCGGAACTGCAAGAAACAACAATACTAATAAAATAAACAAACAATGAACTACTAAAATAACACCAACAACAGTAAGAGTAATTACTGGCACTCACTGAGCGGGTATCACAAGTCCAGGCAAACACTTTATGCACATTGAATCCTCCCTTATGAGATAAATACTCTGTTTGGGGGCCACATGATTGACTATACACAGAGGTGCAATTGTCGTGTCTTCCTGGTGAACTGAACTTGTCGTTGTTATAATGGGCTCCACTTTATTTCTGTGAGTTTTGCTTTAGATCAGACTTTGTCTCATCACTTCTCAGCCTTTTTGCCAAGATCAAGGGGACAGTGGACTCTATCTGATATTAAGATCACACACCCATTCTCCCTGGCTTGTGTTTACTATGCTCCATTCTCTTCTACTTTTTTATTTTCCACTTTCTGGACGCTATATATGGATGTATATTCCGTACAATATGAGGACATTGTACATGTGTCTCTTGGAAGCAACAGAGAATTGGGTTTTTCCTTTTGATCCAGTCTGTCTATCTTTGTATTTTACCTGCAGCATTTGGCCTATTCCTATTTGATGTAATTATGGGCATATTTGGACATAAATCTGCCGTCTTAAGTGTTTTCTTTTGTCTCACCTACTCTATGCTTCCTTTCTCTCCTTTCTTGCCTTCTTAGGATTGGATGGGTATGTTTGGTAAGACTCTTATTCTCTTCATTTTATAGATAGGGAAACTGAGGCACAGAGAGGTTAATTACTTGGTTTGAGGTCACAGCGATGAAGGGCAAGACGGGCCAGGTCTATTCCACCCAGGGGAGCTGAACGCTGCACAATCATGCAGATGGGTATTTAACTGCAGCTGCGATAGTGCCATGTAGGAAATAAAACTGAAAGCAGTGGCAGAGAAAGGCTTCCAATCCCCAAACTTGGGCCTCCCCTCCCCACAAAGTTCCCATCACTTCCTACCCTCTCTCTTGAACACACAAAGGAGGAAAACATTTTCTTGTTTCCAATCTACTGCGTACATAACATCTGGGGTCAGCCAAGCCCCTTTTGGTCTTGATGTACAGCCCCTATCCCTTCCAGGACTCTCATAAATGTTTCCTGGCCTCCAGCAGAGCCCAGGGGACCCATTGAAAAGCTTGGTTTCTCCAGCCTGGGCCTCTCCTGCTGCAGCCTGCAGACAGAGCCATGGTTCTGCTTTTCCCAACAGCCCCCACCCCAGTGCTCCCCTCTCGGCACTGCTGCTGCCTGGCTCTCCGAGCTCCCCAATTCTTACAAAGATCAAGTCCACGCTATGTCCTTTCCCATCATCCTGCCTTTGCTCTTGTGATTCTGTCAGCCCTGAATGATTGTCCGTTCCTAGAAAGCTCCTAATCCTACCTCAAAGCCCCATCCAGAGGTATCTGCCTCCTTGCAACCTTCCTTGCCCCTAAAATGAGCCCTCACACCCCGCTCCTCAGGTTCCTCCAGACTTAAGTCTTTCCTCTCTCTAAGCAGTGAGCCCCATGGGGCTGACGGTGTCTGTTTCTGACACTGTTGCCCCTCCTTCTCCAGGGCTAGGCAGGGCCTGAGACTTCTCTGGATCCTCAGAATATGGGCCACACCCAGAGGAGACTGAACGATTTTTAAAACTGTTGGACTAACTATGTAACAATCCTGGTCCTCATTGACTTTTCAATGAATGAAGGCAGCAGAGTGTGGGAGGAATAGTACCTACAGTATACTGCAAATGTACTGTGTGCTAAGTTCTGTCGTAAGGATTGCATCTGCATGATTTCATAAGGTTAACACTTGCCCAAGGCTATCTAGCTAGGATGTGACAGACATGGACTTAAACTCAGATAGGTCCAATTCCAGAGCGCTTAAACAGTCTTCCACGTGCCTAAGAAATCCTATGTGTATCTTCCAAGCTCTCAACAACCTTCAGAGGTAGAAGCTGTGATTGTCCAGACTCACATTAACAAACTGAGGCCCAGAGCACATACACATAGAATACACAACATACTGACATCATAGAATATCCATAACTAATAATGATTAATTACAAACATTTATTGAGCAATTCCTATTTGCCCCTTTTTGTTCATGAATTTAACCTGGATTATCCTACTTAAAAGTGTATCCTCATATCAGTATGAACTCATGGTTTTTAGTATATAAACAAAGGGATAGATACAGAAGTAAATATACATGTATAAGCTTGGGCTAATAGACATGCATGTATTTTCCTTTTTACTTTTTAGAGATGGGGTCTCGCTATGTCACCTAGGCTGGAGTGCAGTGGCTATTCACACAGGTACGATGATAGCACACTGCAGCCTCAAACTCCTGAGTTCAAGCCTCAGCCTGCTGAGTAGCTGGAAGTATAGGTGTGCCACCATGCCTGACTTATTTTCCAGCTCTGACTGCTGACAGGTGCCTAGAAGCAGTGACACCCCATTAGCAATAAGCACATCGAGCACCCACATCTTGGTTTCTAAATACCACCCTTCAAACAAAGGAACAAGGCTCCTTGGAAAAATGACTGATTCCAGCATGGAACGTGGAACATCTTGTGGTGCCAAAGTAAATAAGTGCTCAGTAGGCTGGGTGTGATGGCTCATGTCTATAATCCCAGCAATTTAGGAGGCTGAGGCGGGAGGATGGCTTGAGCCCAGGAGTTCAAGGTTACAGTAAACTGTGATTGTGCCACTGCTCTCTAGCCTGTGTGACACAGAGAGACTCTGTCTCTAAAAAATAAAAATAAATAAATTCCATCAGTTCATAGTGATATTAATACTTGAATAAATACATAATTGGAGAAGAATGTTTACAGAATTCTCTTGTTTACAGAATTCCAATAAATAATTACTAGAGAATCACTATGAGGTGAACACCGCAGTTATAATTGTTGCCAGCAAGAACCATGGATGAATCCTAAAATTAGTGGCGAAAAATATGATTAAAAAAATATGGTCTCTTAAGTATCTTCCCACAAGATACTTAAATTGCAAAGGGGAAAATAGTAACTTTGCAGCAAAGAAACTGGTAGACATTGCCTTAGGCAAGTAATCAAGGTCAATATCACGGGTAATAAAACATGTCAACATCCCAGGTCTCCTGACAGGATGCGCTGAGAAGGATACAACATTGCTTATGTGAAATTCCTGCTAAAATGCACAATCTCGGTCTAATCATGAGGAAATATTAGACAAACACACACTGATGGATGTTCTACAAAACTAGTACTCTCCAAAACCATTAAGATGAGGAAAAACAAAAGAAGTATCACATAATGGGGAAGATTAAGCAGACATGACTAAACGCAATGTGGAATCCTGGAGGGGACCCAGGACCAAAGAGGAGCGGAGATTTTTGAACCTAGATGAGTCTGATTCCTGGCACGGAAAGCAAGACACCTGGGTTTGGGTCGGCCACAGACCACTTGAGCATTTACGACCTTAGGGGCGTGCCTTCCACGCGGGAGCTTCAGTCTTACCATCTATAAAACGGAATGTGTTTTTCAGCCTTCCCCCTTCCGGGCTGCTTTGAAACGCGGGTTTTGGAAACTCGCAGGCGCAAGAGGGGCTGTTTGATTGGCTATTTATTAAACCCCGCCCCTTCCTGGCGCACCTCCTCGAACGCAGGTTGGCCCCAGCGTACGACGCCGCCACGCACGTTCCCTCGCCCGGTGCGTGTTGACGTCGCGGCAGGCGCCGGCGCCATCCCGGAAGCGCGAGCAAGGCCGCCAGATGTGCAGGTGCTGCTGCCACCGACGCCGGGGCCGAGTTTGGGGTGGGGCTGGGGATGCCGGGGCCGCGGGGAAACGGGGCCGGGTCGGGCGCGGCCCCGGGCTTGCCGTGGGGTGGGGCGCGCCGCTGGCCACATCTGGGTACTCCTGCTGCGCACAGGCCTCAGTTTCCCCGTCTGCGCCAGGGATTCACGGGCGGTGCCAAGGGCCGCATTCGGATCCCGGGGCGCGGGGATTGCGGTCACCTGTGTTCAGGTTGTGCCGTGTAACCTGTAACCGGGCGTTGTCTTGTTTGTGCCTCAGTTTCCCCGCATTGACGTGGCAGAGCATGAGGGGATAGTT